CAGATGCTGAAGCAAACAGCAAACTGGCAGATCGAGGGCTGCTGGGGAAGTGGGGGGTTGTAACAGGAGCTCTTTGCTTCCAGCGAATTCAGGTTATGGCACTTGGATCTGGAAGTAAAGTTCTCCAAAGGTCTGAGCTGCTTAGCTCCATGGGGTCAGACTGGAGAGAATGGGCACAGAAATCAGGTGCCCAACACCCCAAAATGCAGGGGTGTTGGGTCTCACCACTGAACTTCCAGTCCAAGAAAAGACCCACTGAGTGCATCTATACAAGACGTTTACTGTGGAGTTGCTTAATTAGCTCAGCAGTAAAATCTCAGCATCTACATGTGCAGCCCTACTAGGCCATGGTAAACTAATAAATGCTGCTGTAGTTTAGTGCTGGTCAACACAAGTACTATCTGATGGCAGTGTTATGTATGTAGTGCCTTGCAATGCACATGTAGACATAGAGAGGGTGGCTGGATCACAAGGGTGCTTCGATCCGGGGCCTGCCTATCGACTAGCCCCATACTGGAGCACCCTCGTGCCCCAGCCAGCCCTCTGTAGCATGCTGAGCCAGATCAGAGCAGATCCAGGCTGGGAGGCTGGCCCTAGTACCCCCTGCCAGCCCAGGCTGCTCTGGCCTGGCTCAATGTGCTCCAGTCTCGGGTGCACATGTAAACACGGCACCCGGGAGCAATAAGCTCCAGTGCAAACTGCATTGGAGTTTATTCAATCAAATTAATTTCATGCGTAGACACGCTCATTGATTTGTTCCTTGTACTGCCCTGCAATGCTGGGTCGAAACAGGTCAAGCAATGCAGGGCTATCCAGCAATTCTGAGCCAAGCAGTCATGGAGCATATCAATTGCTCCTCTGCACGTCTCTACTAATGGTAAGAGATTTGGTTTTAGGAGAATGGCCAGGGTGGGCCAAAGATCTAATACAGCCCCAGGCCTGGGAGCACAGGGCTATTACCAACCTGACAAACTAAAGGAAGAGAACAACTGGAAGAGCAAAGCTCGAGGCAAGCTTCTCAGCCCATTTGTAGCTGCTGTAAATCTTGTGCCACACACTGAACAGGCTTTTATTGCTGTTGTTAAGAACTGGTAGGAAAAGAAAATGCTGACTTCCCCCCACCCTAAAAAAATGACTTTTCAGCAAACTAGAAACCGCAATGGGAAAAAAATGCCAAAACACCCAAAATGTTTTCCAGTTTTTGAAAACGTGATGGTTTGCAATAACCTGGGAAAAAAAAAATCAATGAAAAAAAAAAAAGAAAAATTCGCTTTCTTGGAAAATGCATTTCCTACCAGACTCTTTCCTTTGTTGGTATTGTGGGAGTTCCCCGAGCTTTCTGCTAGGCTGTGTGCACACATAACAAACAAGGTCTGTCCCATAGGGTTTACGTATGCTTTACAGTGGAGGCTGAAGTAGGAGTTCACCTAATTGCCAGGAAGTCAAATGTGATAGAGGGCTGTGTATTATCTCCAAGCCTAGTACTAGATAGTGGAATCATTTCAGACCTGGGTAGCCAAAGGCAGCTATTAGGAAGGCTACAGCACAGCTATCAGAGACAGTTACTGGTGTTTTCTATTGCATGGCCATGTAACTGAAATCAAAACAGAACAGAAGTGCCATTGACCTTAACAGCGATGCTGAGCTGATGCGTCACAGATGGCCCTGAGATTAGTTACCTTGACTTGGAGCCTTAATAAAATATTTTGAGTTTGGGGTTTTTTCTTGCAAATGGCACGTTTTGCATAACACTTTGTTAGATGATATCAAGCATGCAGTAAGGGCCCAGTTCCAGGTCTGCCTGTATCACAGCAACGCCATGGACTTAGGTAACATTTCACAAGTGTGACCAAGGGCAGGATTTTGCCTTAAATATGTACCACAGGCCAAACTGTCTGGTCTAAGACATGGCCATGGAAGGCACCTTATAAACACCATAAATAGATCAGATAGAAATGCTGTAAAATTCCCCTGTTACTTTTCAGTTCATGTGCGAGAACTCCTGAAATGTGTCCAGTCCTTCCTTGGTAAAGAGCCATTCACCGGTTGGTATGTTTTACCTGATTCTCCTCTTATCAGTGCCTGATCTACGGGCAAAAGTGTCCCATCTTTCCAATCTCTCTTCATATAAACATTTTGCTATGTACTTGATCACTCTCATTAGTCTTTTCCATGCTCCTCCTAGCTCTGCAAAGTCCTTTACAGATGGTCAGTACTGCATATGTCAGCCTACATCATGACAAAGCACTGAAATATGTATGCATATTATTTTCACATAATTCTCCAAAACTTATTTGCCTTAAAAACAATTTGTTTTGGATCCATGTTGAGTTATGTAGCTTTACAGCTGCTGAGACTCTAACCCTATAGGTGGGCAATTATTTTGGCTGGGGGGGAGGCCTTAATGAGTTTTGGGGACCTGTCAAGAGCCACATCTATCTCTATCTTCCTGTCTCTTGCGCTGTCTGTCTGTCTGCCTACATCTGTCCATCCATCTGTCCATCTTCCTCTCCCTCTCTGCCTGTCTTTCTCTTTTCTCTCTCTCCCTCTGTCTCTCTCTTCTCTTCAGAGGAGAGGAGAGAAGACAGGGGAGCTTTTCCTGTGTCAGCAGCACAATGGGTCAATCGTGGATGCTGCTGGCAGATGCTATATCCAGGCTCCTGAACCTGCCCACAGCATCCACAGCTAATGCTGCCGCCTGCCCGCTGTAGCAGACGCCCTGCCCAGGTCCACAGCTGATGCCTGGCGCTGCTGGGCAGAAGCAGTCCTGCTTGCCTGGCAGTATGCAGCGGCCAGAGCTGCCAGCCACCTGTGAGCCAGATCCTGCAAGTTGGCAGTCATCCACCCACAGGCTGGATCAAATCTGGCCCACGGGCCATATTTTGCCCACCCCTGCTAGAGATCTATTTATCAACTCCGTTGCAATAGAGACTCGATCATGAATAAGCATGTGGATGGGCATGATGCATCCCAACAGATATCTGTATGTCAGCAGTGTTGCTTCTAATCCTTTTCCGGGTGTGGAGCAAGAACAAAATCAGACCCCCTTCCTTTATGTTTTATGAAGCTAGTAAACCTGAACCTATTCTTAAATGCTTAAACTGCTATTTATTTAACATTCACAATAATAAAAATAAAACCCACCCCTGAAGCCCTAATGAAATGCAGAGTTAAGTATTTTTAAGACAACTCATTTAGAGTGTCACCAAATATTTTTACATAGCATAAATTAGCGGCTGTTAATTTGAACCCACTGGGCATTCTTCCAGCGGTTCGTCAGGCAGACAAACCGCAGTGCCATGCAGGCTTGCCCACCACTGGTACAAACAGCTCAATATCCCATGCCTTTTGATAATGCAGTCGAGCACGAGGAGATGAGATGCTCCCATCAAACGCAGTGTAAGTCAAAGGGAGGCAAAAGCCTTGGAACTCTCCAGGCAGCAGAGATAAAAAAGCCAAATGAAAGCTGGCTCCCTCCGAGCCCTGCTGTATAAGAGGTGTTTACCAAAATATGTATTGGAAAATTGGTGCCTCCAATTGCAGATAAATAGCTTATTAAGTAACTGGAGAATACGTTTCTCCATGTAGATCCTGGAAGCAGGACCACTAATGACTTCTAAGGTACTGTATTCCCACCCCCAATCTAGGCATGGAAATAGCAATCTTCCCCGTTAAACAATCACTTTAAAAGCTATTTCAATAGAGCAGCAATTTTCCACCAGTCTAGTGCACGTTAAGGGAAAAAGGAAACAAGGAAACAAGGAAAGCCAAACAGAAGAAAGTGAGATTTTTTACAAAAAGCGTGTTTCATTTGTAACCTGCCCCCCACCCCGTCCTATCCACACTTTTAGCTCTATATAAGCCAAGATCGCCACAATCCCTAAACACTTTGAGCTTTCTATCCACTGGTATTCATGAAAACCTGGATCCCAGCTGTCACCCAAATAGTAAGTACTCTGCAGCTGCTCTTTGCTATGGTGATTGCTCATTCACTCATGTCTCTGGAAACCATCCAAAAGTAGACAGGTTGGGCGATTCTGCCCAATTCACCTTGTCTGTCTTCACTTTAAGTAGCACCCCTTTCAGGATCGGTTCTCCTCTCCCCATCCCCAGAGCTTTCATTTACCATGCACCTTGTGTCCGGCTATTTTTCACTTTCATTCTGCCTTAAATCATCCTTCCTTTGTAAACCAACTTGCCGCCACCCCTATAACTTCACCTTCCGCAGAGACATCTCATGCTGCCTCTTTGACACTGAATCCTGAATCAACTCTTGCATTTGCCAAAGTGGCCATTCACTCAACTTTGCTTTTATCAGGCCTTGCTCCTTTTCTTCTCTCTCTATTCAGTTTATTGTTAGCATCCTGGTGTTTTCCTGACAGCCACAATACTTTACACTTCCACGCTGCCCTCCATCAGAGGAACTCGCGGCTCTTAACTATCACTCAAAAATAACCCTTGGTAGGGAGGTATTGTCATATTCAGCTGGGAAGAATGAAGGGTGAAGTAACACATTACACTTAGACCATACTGAGGGCGCTTAAAACGCAAGCGCCCACACATTAAAGCTTGTTAACTTGTGCTAAGTGCCTTTTGAGTGTCTCAAAGTTATGCCACTTCAAGCAAGGGTTAACTCGGGGCCATGCTGCCTACCCTGTGTGAGAGTAACTTCCGTCTGTTCCACATAGATAAAACAATTTCAGTCCTCCAGCATCCCAGGGTGCACCGCTCCCTGCTCTCCCCCTCCACCCACACACACTCAGAGGAGGGCTGGTGATCTGGATCCTAGACAACCCCTGCTCACCCTCAATTAATTCACTTGACCAAAGCTACACAGTAAATCTGTGACGGACAGGTACTAACCTCAGGTCTTCTGACTGCCTGTTTCATACCATACCTGAAGACTATCCATCCTCCCCTGGGCAGAAGCAACTAGGTGATACAGCACAGGATCTGCACAGCCTCAACCCATGCCACATTCACAAATTGCATCAGCATACCTGAATGAAGACATACTCGTCCTGGACAACCAGCGAGCTGGTGTCGATGGAGCGCAAAAACGGCCCGATCCTGGTGGTCTCCGAGCACTCCTGGATCCGGCAGGTTATGTAGTGGGCATCTGCAAGAGGAGAACGAATAGGCTCACATGAGAAACGTCTGCCAGGCAGAAGGAGGGCTCGGGTCTTAGCCCTGGCTGGCGCACAGCATCTTCACCAGCCTGGACGCGAGACTTATCCGTGTGTTTCAGTTTCACGCTTCAGAGCTGAGGCTGATCACAGACTGAGACGGGAGGGACTTCCAAGGTTCATTGGGACGACTGTATGTACCGGTTAGGGATTTAGCCTATTGTTGGTGATGGAAAGAGAATGAAGGAGACAGTCACTCTACATGCCCTATTACTTGCTACCGCAGGAGACTAGACATTGGGCTTGATGGACCTTGCTCTGACTCAGTACGGCAGTTCACAAGCACTGCACGGGCATCTCTCCAGGGCTCTTGTCCCTGGATGCTTATTATAAATGCAAACAAGCAGACAAATCTTATTAGGCTAAAAGAAGAGAAAATGATATCCCTCCAACCCACAGAGATAGGTTTCCCCCCTTCTGTCCTGAGTGCTATTCGAACACATCTCCAACCTTCCCAACTTGCCTTGGGGAAATAAATCAGCTTTAAAATGCACACTGAACATTTATTACAGCTAGCTTGCAGGGAAACAAGTGCGGTCCAGGTGCTATCCTACCACAGACATCCTGCTGCCTCTCATTCAGTCCAAGAAACCATGAGCTTCGGGATGAGAGCTGAGCTAAGCTGTGGTGTTACCACACAGGGACAAAGAAATCCAGGCAATCAGAAACTAATCCAACACATAAGTGAGGATGATGTTCTCCTGAGCATGGAAAGTTCAGACCCAGGTTTCAAAGCTGATGTGGAGGGCAAGAAGTCAGGGAACTGATTTGGAAAAGACCATCCCACAATCTGATCACCAGCGCTCTAGGTACTTTCCATTGCTTCAAAGCAATTCGCAACCGTGGCACCGTGCAACTCATTCATGGAAAGGACGTGGACTTTGCACTGGTGTCTCACATGAGAAGAGGGAGGCACAGCAAAAGGGCCATGACCTGGCCAACATCACTGGCAGGCACTTATGGACCCCACCATCTCCCTTAACAGCAAGGCTCTGGACATTAAGCTGTTCCCTGTACTTTCATCCTGAGGATGCCGGGCGGACCCAAATCAATGGGATCTGGCCATTAGTATGCAGGTGTGGGCTGACCAGTGCAATGGGAAAACAAAAGAAAAAAAAAAGGAAAGAAAGAAGTCAAGTAATGATTAATGTTGCAGTGAACAATCCAGGCTACACGAACTGGTACTCTGCTCCCTTGACAGCATCCCTGATGCTCATATTTACCAGCTCACTTATCTTCTGAGGGGAAAGGTGGCAAGAGAAAGGAATAAGTGATCAAACAAGCACCATTTTCATCTTGGAGGCTGGGACTTTACTCACAGGCCATGATCTAAATGCTTGATCAAGACAGTGGAAAATGCTGACACGCAGAGATGCACAGAAAAGCACAACTTTGCTGATGCCGGCCTCTTGCTCTCCTGAGCACAGAGGTAGGGGAAAAAACAAACTAAGCACTTCATGGAGACATTGCTGGAAATGTCACTGTCTGTAAGCTCACAGCGACTCCCTTTGGGTTGGCTGCTTCCTTACCTACTGTACTGATCGGCTGCCTGTGTGATGGGGCTAGGTGGGGAAAAGCTAGGTGGGGAAAATCATTAAAATTTCTTCCCAGGGAGAAGACAAGACCAAGGGGATTTGATAGCAGCCTTCAAGTCCTTCCGGGGGGGTTGCAAAGAAGATGGAGCTGGACTGTCCTCAGTGGGGGCAGATGGCAGGACAAGGAGCAATGGGCTCAAGTTACAGCAAGGAAATTTGGGGTTAGATATCAGGAAAAACTCTCTCACAAGCAGGATAATAAAGCACTGGACCTGGTTACCCAAAGAGGTTGTGGGATCTCCATTATTGGAGAATTTTAAGACCCAGCTAGACAAAGCCCTGGCTGGGGATGATCTTCTTGAGGACGGTCCTATTTTGAGTAAGGGGTTGGACTAGATGTGACTTCCTGAGGTCCCTTCCCTAAGTTTTCTATGATTCTATGAGATTTTAATGTATGGTGACTATGCCTATAGCTCCTGAGGTCTGAATATACAACATTTACCCTTGAACTACTTTTGGAGAAGCCCACATTGCAGGGTAGAGGGGGGAGCAGAGCAGCTCTGGGAGGGAAGGCTGCAGGGATGGAGGATTCATCCCTTCCACACACAGGTTTCTGCACTCCCTGGTTTCAAGAAAAATAGGGACTTTCTAAGAATGGAGTTGAATAAGATGCAATGTGTTGTATATGGCCACACAAGTTGTTGGATGGACCTTGCTGGCTTGAACTCAATATGGTGAAAGAGAAACTGAGAAGGCAGCCAATGAGGCACGTGAAATCTAGACAGGGTCTTTCCACCTGGAAAAAATGGCTCCTGGCCTTAGGGTAAGGACACACTTAACACTCAGCAGCCCGATTTAAATGCAGTCTAATTGTAAAGTGGAGAGACCCACAGCCCTTTAAATGGGTTTAAAGCCACCTAGAATTGTTCCAAAGTCTACTTGGAAAATCAGGTACTTTTTTGAACCAGCACAGTCCCCTGGCTCAGTATTACTGAGTAGACACCAAAGCATTCAGGGACATGGGTCTTGGCCACCACAGTGCCATGGCAGCATGGCACCAAGGCCTTTCCTGCTCTGTCCTTGTAGAAGCTTTTGTCATGCTTTCAAATCTGACCCCAGCCCAAGTGCAGCCAACCCTCCCCTCCCCTCCCCCCGTTTCCTTGTGGCTGCATGCACTATCTGTCCCAGGGGAGCAGGCAGGGAAGGGTTAACCTGCCTGCCTGCCTTCAGCAGCACTGGCAGCAGCAACCAGGCAGGCAGTTTAACCCTTCCCTGCCTGCTCCCCCTGAGATGGACAGTGCGGGCAGCCACAAATAAGTCAGGGGCAGGAGGCAGTGAGTGGGGATTTGGAGTGCTGGGGAGGGCACAGGGAGACAGTGGGCCCAATGAGGCCAGTGGGGAAGGGAAAGGGGGAAGACGGGGTGTGTACACTAAGGTGTAGCCTAAAGTGGCTACACCTTAGTGTAACATGAGCTGCCTAATGAGTGCTTAAAATTAGTTTCAGATGTTAAGTTGTGGAAAATCCAAGTATTAAAAGCTCCAATAACCGCCCAAAATTACCATGTTACAAAGCCCAAACACAGCAGTTTGGCTATTCCTATCCCTACAAAAGGTAGGCGATTTGCTGCTGGTAGGTGACAAAACAGGAGAGGAATAAAACCTATCACAAATAAATGCAAATAAACCACAAGTGTTGACATGACAACCAGCTTTCTGCCTACTGGGAAATATGTCATTTTGAGTGTGTTACACCAGTAATCAAATGTATACAAAGAACAGTACCTATTTAATATTCACTTGGAGGCATAAAATGGTGGGGGATGAGTGCTCTCTGCCTATTCTCCATTTAGTTCCTTATTTAGCTTTATGGATTTTATTTTATAAAATAAAGGCTACAAAACAAAACTACCGCCACCACCACAACATACATTTTCCAACCTGGCTGGCTCTGGATACAATAATGAGCTCAATCTTATCTTTCTTACTGGTGTCCTTTCAGAAAATGAAAGATAATTTACTATAAGTGTAGGATTAAAAATGACTGGGTGTAACAAATAGCCACATCCAAGTGAGAGCTGAAATGGCTCTGCCCACTGTACTGGAACATGAAGCAAGTATTTCAAAACACGCCAGGATCTGATTGAAGGTAGACCCCAACTGGAAACCCAGGTCAGAACAGGCTCAGCCTATGGGAAAGTTTTGAATTCAGGAATAACATCAGAAACATCACTGAGATGCCACAAGACTCAATGCAGGCAAGGAGTTAGCTGCCTAAAATGGGATTTAGGTGGCATCATAGAAAATGAGGCTTGGAAAGGACCTCGGGAGGTCCCATCTAGTCCAACCCCCTGTTCAAACAGGACCAGCCCCAACTACATCATCCCAGCCAAGACTTTGTCAAGTTGGATCTTAAACATCTCCAAGGAGATCTTAAACATCTCCACCACCTCTCTATGTAACCTGTTCCAGTGCTTCACCATCCTCCTAGGGAGAAAGTTCTTCCTAATATCCAACCTCAACTTCCCTCAATGCAACTTGAGTCCGTTGCTCCTTGCTCTGTCGTCCGTCCCCACTGAGAACAGTTTAACTCGGGTAGTAGTTGAAGGCTGCTATTAAATCCCCCCTCAGTCTTCTCTTCTCCAGACTAAATAAGTCCAGTTCCCTCAGCTTCCCCTCATCGGTCATGTGCCATAGTCCCCTAACTATTTTCGTTGCCCTGCGCTGGACTCCCTCCAATTTGTCCACATCTAGGAAAGGCGACATCTAAGTAAAAACCAGATATCCCCTCAGCTGCCTCTTAACCTAAGTTAATTAGGAGTCTATCTGTCTGACATCCAAGGTCCAGATGTGCCTCCACTCCAGCACACAACCAGAACTGCCTTAGGTAGAGCAGCTCAGCACCCATCTTCTGCTTATGCTTTACTAGAATCCAGAATTCAGGTGTTCCTGTCTCTGATTCCCCAGAGGGGCCTGATCCAGGAGGCATGCTTATAGAGCATGCTTAGCATTCACAAAATGTGGTGGTGGCCATTTTATTTTCAAATGAAACCCACAGACATGTGGCTTTGCCCTGTTGTCATATGACAGCTGAGTGGTTCGAGCATTCAAGCAAGAACTGGGAGCCCTAGAGGAGAAGGGTCAAATCCATTCTACTCACCCCCAAGAAGAGCACTCCAATGACAAGGATCTCAGTTAGTCCAATTGGGTGACACTCCCCACCTTTCCTATCTAAGCCAGGCAATTCTGTAGCCAAGAATGCGATATTCATTGGCAAAGAGGGGAAGCACAAGTGGAAGCATGACTCTGTAGCCCAGTGTTTCAGGAGCTCAACTGGGAGTGTAGGCAGACCAGGTTCTTTGGGTAGCTGTGATGTCTTTTATTAGACCAACTAAATAGTTGGAAAAATTGTTCTTTGCAAGTTTTTAGGCACATACACCCTTCTTCAGACATAGGAGAGCGTTTGTGCCCAACAGCTTGCAAAGAACAAGTTTTCCAACTATTTAGTGAAAATTTAGTGAAACTTTTGTGAGAGTTGGTCTAATAAAAGATATCACATCTACCCAATGTCCTATCACATCTGCCTATGTCCTTAGACTAACATGGCTACAACCATCAACCCCAACTGGGGGTGTGAAACTCCTGTGTTCAAGTTCCTGCTCTAAGGACTACATGCATTTTACATGATGCAGCAATAGCTTACATATGATACAAGACCCATGGTTCTGGGGAAAAAGGGCATTTCCTGTAGCCCTGAGACACCCAAGTCTCAGCTCCAGAAACACAAGGACTAAGACTTATCCCTATCCTCAGCATTTCCTGTTGACTAGTTCAAAGCAGTTCCCTGCTCGGTGGGTTGCCTGTTTTGGATGCCATTCTTGACCATGTAAGGGTACTGTTAACTTATCATGCCAAACTGTGTTTCAGGACTGAGGAGGGTCTCAGTGAGGCCCATCTTTTGCCTGAAAGAATCCCTCTTCATGCCAGCTCCATGAGACTAGAAGGTATCTATCATCTCAACTCTATGCAAAGCGAGGTTGATGCTTTCTGGGGACAGGGAACAAGGAAGGCAACTGATAGCCCCCTTCTCAGGAAGCAACACAGACCTCGGGTTCATGGAAAGCTGAGTGGTTTAACAAGTGAAGGAAGGCAGCCTGAATGGCTGAGCATAAAAATAATTTGGTGTGCATTGATACCGTCCATGTCAGCTTCCAAAATGTGCCTCGCATGCCCTCTCCCACTGGTTCTTGCCATATGCCCCACCCATTTCATTCTCTACACTCTTATTTTACAAAACACCTGATGTCTTAAGCAAGAGAATGAAAGAGAATGAAATAGGCTGGGGTATCATGAGAACTAATGAAGAAAGATGTGAAGCAGATTTGGGAAGCTGAGGGGGAAGCTATCAGATCTTGAGACAGACCAATGCAGAACAACTTAAAAACTGATCTGAGAGGGATAGGGACACCTGGATGCTCACCTTTGCTGGGGTCATCTGACCCCAACTGACTTTCTGCCCTTTGGGCAAGGGGTTGGACCGGATGATCTCACGAGGTCCCTTCCCCTAATGTCTATGAAATCTATGCAGTCTATGAAACCTATGAAATCTAGGTGAAGATAAAAAACTGTGGAAGGGAATTGTGCAAGATGAGGGGATAAAAGGCTCTAGTTGAAGCTGTTACAGGGTCTTGAGGCCTGTGAGACAAGAGAAGGAGAGCATTCTCCCAGTGTTTCCTTGAGCTTGGTTGACAAATTCTGGTCAAACACCATTCCACATCCTGCTTAGTCCTTGGTCCATTTGCTTTCATTTTTATTATCAATCTGGAAGAGAAGAACTCATGCAGATCATACAACTGGTTTCTGACCTGCAAATCTTGGGCTGGGCTCTGGACATTGCCAAGATGCTTGCACCTGGTGTTTGGATTTTGGGCCCTTAATATTTAAAATTAAACATGCATCTTCTATATATAAAACCTTGAAGGGACAGCTGCTTCACTGTCCTGTTGTCTTAGCTGATGCAGCACTGGTCCTTCTGACCAGAGGAGTACACAGACCCTCACATTCATGTGCACAGGGCTGTCAAGAACAACATGATTTAAACCACTGAAAACCTGGCTCACAAACTGCATAGCTTGCAAAGGCTTGGAGTGCCAAGAAAGGCTGTTCTCAAGAGGCTTCCTGAGGTAGAAACCACAAACCTCAGGGGCTCTCCGGCCCAGTTTTGCAAAGCTAGTTGAACAGGGACGCAGGTGGTGTGCACCCAACAGGATTGCAAGCGCATTAATGATTTGCCTACGGTTAGTTGTGATGTGCAAGTCTTAGCAGGAATCAAGTCCGAACCTGGGATGTGGTTGAGTGAATGCATTGCCCAACAATGTATATTGTGGTGTGTGTTGTGCAAAAATGAAACATGAAAGTGAGGATGACTGCACATTTTTTGGGAAAACTCAATATTTCAATGGATACAAAACCGCGTATCCATTTTCCAACCACCCCTAAATGGAAGGCCCAGCCAAACCATGATTTTTGGAAGGTTTTTTAAATGTGTGTCTGCTTCCTTCCATACTACTCCTTTCTCCGGCTGTTGGTGTGTGAAGCAATGTGGACATCTAGTGGCTTGGAGGGATTGCTACAGTCTTGCAAATCCTATTTTTACACCTCTCCTTAAAAATTCTCCTGCATTTCCCATATTGCATTCAGGACATGGCTGTCTCTAAGGTGCTGCAATGCTATACAGCCCTTTACACTTGAGGATCTCAAAGCACCTTGCAAATCAATGTGCGCTCACGATGCACCTCTGATGACTAAAGGAGACAATGAAGTGCACAGAAGCAAGGCAACTTTCTACAGTTCCTGTGATGCAGCCTCTTCTCTAAGAGCTAGAAATCACATGGAGGCTTTTGAAGGAAGCAGGGGACTTGTCTTTCTCTACTAGGTGCTAATGGCAGGTGGGCCCCTGACGGGAGAAGGGAAACAGGCCAACCTGTCAACACATGGCATGCTGAAAAGGTCAGGCCTTGATGGCCTGTTAACATCAATCACCGGAGATATTTGACATCCAGGTTCCTAATGACTCCTGCTCCTCTCTTGCAGAGTTAACAAAGGGAAGGGGAAGGGAGGGGATCAATCTTTTCTTTGTGAGGAGAATGGGAAATGAGAGAAAACATGGAGGCCCTTGCAAAAAGCTCCTATCAGTACCTCTAAGGAGCATCCTGCAAGCTTTTGGGGAGACCAATCCATCCTCACAGTCCTGAAACTATGGCATGCCTATATGCAGCTTTGCAGACTTTCAGTCATTGGCAGCCCCTCGGTCCAAGGCAGCAGAAGAGGTGCATTACACAGAGCCCTTCCTAGTCCAAAGATGGAGCCTTCATTGCATCATTATTTATCCAGAGAGAATCATCCTGCCGTCCTCTCGCATTGGCAGAGCAGGCGGTGCTAAAAAGAGGTTTTGCAATAAATGCCGCCTTATGGATAGACAGACAATCAGGGAATTCAAACAGAATGAGCCCCAGACAATAGCAGATTCAAGTGCAATGGCATCTACATCCAAAAGACGCCTCTTCCCCCTTAAAAATAATAAAGTCCACTACCTCCCCACCCCACCCCACCCCCTCAGGGGATGAATTCTCCACCTGCCACTTCATAACGGCATTCTGCTTTCCTACGTTTCTCCTCTATTTCCAAAAGGGCATGGACTTCTACTGCCGGGCAGGATTGCAGTGAGCTATTAAATACCTGCGATGCTGCACCCTAGCGGCAGGTGCATTTCTGTGTTGTTCCTCCTGTATAAAACTTTTGTGAGGTCTCAAGGAGAGAAGAACGGTACAAAAAAAATTGGGGGAAAAAAAAGAAAGAGTGAAACTTGTTTCTAATGCATCCTATCCAGTTGGTTAGAAATTAATTACTTATGAATCCATTCTGCTCCAGAGACGGCCAGCTGCATTTCAGTCACAAGTTAAGTGCTTTTCTGGGTGCCAGCGTGATGCTTGCAGAGCCGGGGAAGGAAGCACCCTCTCGGCGCATAAGGGGTAAGTCTACTGAGCTGGGGAGAAGGGCAGGAGGGCGTACAAATATATGGAGCTCCATTCCCCATGTGCAAAAGGAGTGGGGTGATTGTAAGCCATTTGCAATAGGCTTTCCATTTCCAGAAGGTTTTTCTGGCACATACTGGCTAGTTTGTGCCAATCTCATGGTGTCGATTAAACTTACATCCTGAGAGTGGTAAGCTTGACCCTATATTATTCGCCCAACACATGTGATATTGAACTAACTCAATAGAGACCTGAAACAGATTGCTTTCCCCCCAGTAGATTTATCCTGATCTCAGCTCTTCCCAATTTCTTCACAGAACCCAGCCCTGCCACTGGTCCCCCCCGACCCCCATGGGTCTAACAGATGAGGATGCGTTGAAAATAGAGGCCATCGACCCACATCTTCCCAATCAATTAAAATGCAAATTGGGAGGAAAAAATGAGGCATGCAAAATTCAGTTCCCACTTCACTGCTCACTCAGGGCCGATCTTATTAGCGCTGGGCTCAGGCACTCACGTCCATCAGCTGTCCGGGCTTCCATGTGCACCAGGTCAGGCTCCTTATCCAAACCCGCTATGGACCTGGGGAAGAGGAGAGAGAAGGGAACTGGTGAGATACAAAGCTGTGAGCAGGGAGAGCTGGACACAGATGTTTCCACTGCTCTGCTTTGAGAGACCAATTTGGAATACGAGTGGATTTAATATACGAAGACGTCAGGCAAACACTGAGCACAACTCCACACAGTCTACACCTATTTCTCCACTGCAATTAGCTGGAGTCAGGGGTACCCAGGGTAGCCTGGACCAGGGCCGAGTATTTCCACAACAAAACCCTGTGTCCTCCCACACTTCTATTTTTGCACTTGCCCGTAGGCATCCAAAGGGATTTCACTTATTCTTCAATACCTTCCCAAGCATTTGTGTTGGAACTTGCCTCAGGGGAAGCTGTAGCAAGGGCACTGAAGGACTATCAGCATTACAACGATCTTGCCTGCATCTCCACTGCAAAGGGAGCTCCTTCCAGCTGTGGTGGGGACTGAACTCCTCTCCCCAGCTGTGCAAGGAAGCCTGGGCTCCAAGCACAAACACACATGTGCTTATGGCAGTCGGGGCAAAAGTGCGTGTAAAATCACAGTACAGCAAACAGAGATGCCACAGTGAGGGTGTGAGCTGGTCCCCAAAGAGCTGGGCTGTCCTCCCACATATTAAAAAACTGTCCAAGAGATTGCATGCCTTATCATTTCCTTGACTTCCTTTGAAGCATAAGAACTGCCAGACACCAGACTACCGGACGTGAAGTCTGATCATTCATTTCACGCAGGGTTGGGACCAAACTGAAACACAAGAGATGAGTCCTCCTATCATCCTAGGTGTCTGAAAGCCCAGTGTTCAGGGGCTAAGCCTCTCTCTGATGCAGAAGGGACCAGTATGATCATAGCATCTAATGAAGTAGCCTGTAGTCCTGAAAGCTCATGCCTGTTTGAATGAGTTAGTCTCTAAGGTGCTGCTCTGCTCCGCCTACTGCCCTTTACATAACCATTGATCCAACTGGCTGCAGGAATCATTGGCTGAACCCATCCAACACCTTGCAGCTGAAGTATAGTACATAAATACACTGGGACAGTCAAAGATGCCCTACAGTGTCCAGCCCATGAAACCTACCTACCTACCTACCTGGATACACCCCAATGTGTTTCTAGCCCATTACCTCACTATAATTATCTGACATTGCTCTGTCCGGCAGAGGTGGGAGAACCCAGGACCCCATTTATGGAGGAGATGGGCTGCAAGAAAATTGCCAGATTTTCTATGAAAAGATGGGCTGGACAAGCTGAATTTAAACACTGTCTGAAGTTGTCCAGATCAGCGCTTGATGTAGTGTGTGGTGCCCAACAATTACTCTACACCCAACAATTACTGAGGCTCCCCAGATTGAACATATTGTTCTTTACTGATGGTCAATATTGTATTGCATGATTTGTTTGCCAGCTTGCAACTGGCGCCCGGGGTACCAGCACAAAGACTCTTCCCCAACCAGCTCCTGTACCCAGCTCCGGGGCCAACTATGGTCATAGTGCTTGCAATCTGCCTTCAGAGGGAAGAGTCAGCTTTCTACCTGAGCCAACTGGAGACAAGAGCATTTAGAAAGACATCCTACCTGACCTCAGCAGACTTCTTAAGGCACACCTCAATCCAACAGCCCCAGCAACCTGGACTTAATTCATTAAATCGAGTTCAACTCTGAACCAAATCATAGTGAAGTCCACAGACTTCATAGTGAAGTCTATGGACCAAATCACAGTGAAGCCCAGAGACTTTACATACATTGACCATAGGGTCTTTGAATGAGATTCTATAGTAACAGCCAAATGTGCATGTGAGGTCTCTACTGAAGGGGAAAACCACATTCTCTCTTCTGGCTTTTCCAATTAAGCAACAGCCCAAAAGACAAGGTCACGTTCTAGTTCCTGCTGTCACACTGATGACGGCTTACTTGCATCTTAGGGGAGCTATGGAAGCAGATCAGTGCTGCTACTGAGTGAAGTGCATACTCTAGGCACTATAATGACTATTAAGTACTCTGTTTGCCAAAAGCATGTGCACCCAGCCACTGTGACACATGCCTTTGATTCTGTCCCTGCTCATGGAAGTGCCACCATCTTGGCTGATGCTAGGTATTGAACTAGGAATCTCTGGTTGGTTGAAGGAAGGCATCAGTCATTACAGTTTCAGCTAAATAGCTAATCACTGTAGCTCTAAGAGACTCACAAAGGCGAGTACATCGGTCTACTAATGTTACCCATCGATCAGTCAACAATAATGCTGATTGTGAGTGGCCGAGCAAAGTAAGCACTACACTAAGACTCGGGAGACTTGGGTTAGAGTCTCAGCTTTCAATTCACTCTGAAGAGTGGGTCAACAGAAAAAGATGAAGCACTGGGACAGATTCCCTACATAGGCTGTGGAGTCTCCATCACTGGAAGTGTCTAAGAGCAGGTTAGACTAATGCTTGTCCAAGATGGTTCAAACAGGGATGACCCTGTCTTGAATGTGAGGTTCAGCTAGATGGCCTCCCAAAGGCTCTTCCAGCCCTGCGATTCTGCCAGCTCCACAGCTGATATAATACACTTGCCTGACCCCGGATGGGACACTTCCCCACTCTGTGCCTCAGTTTCCTCATCTACACAATGAAAACAATACCAATGGTCTCCATTGTAAGTGCTTTAAGAATCAGTAATGAAAAGAAGTAGGTATTATTATTTGCTTCCTTCAAAAAAATGTGGGCAGGTAATAACCTACAAATCACAACCAAAGTTTGGAGCATTTTATACTCACTACCCCAACTTCTCTTAATTAAAAACCTGAGCGCTTAAAGGCAAGATGTGCATGAACATTGCTGTTTTATATCCTGAAAACATGTTGCAAGGCAGATTACAAAGATAGCCTTCCTTCTGGCACAGGGAGAGTCAAGCCTGGAACAGAATTATTATTATTAGTGTTCTAGCTGATAAGAATCGCTAGTAGATGAACATTTAGTCCTAGCAGTGGCTGGCAGGGAGAAAAAAAAATCCATAGATGTCCGTGTGATTTATGGAGCAGCATCTTCAGAGTTAACCAAGGGGTTAGATTAAAAAGGGAGGACGGCAAAAATCAGTTTCTAATTTGGTGCAAGCTGAATTTGATACAGTAGATTGTAAATAATAGATTCCCTCCGAGCCAACCAGAGCTCACGATTCCCTAATGTTCTAAACCACTTATCACAATCCTGTGCCGCACCAATCCCCGCGGCATCAACAGTTAGGAGATTCAAAAAAATTTTTTAAAATAAAAGCAAACAACATGTGACTATGAAAGCACATTTGTGTAGATCTCATAAAAAAGTCAAGCATTTGAGCTGGATATGGAACAACCAAATAACCCAAATGATCTCAGGCTTGGACTAATGATAGTCCAAGATGCAGAAGCAACGATGACAACGCCAAGTTGCAATCACTGAAACCTTCATTGTTCATCAACAAGAACATCGAGGTCAATGTCAGGTCTGTTCCCAGAATAAAAAAATAGCATGGGTTTGATTTCTATCCAGCTGATTTCGTCTCACTTGGATGGAAGCCAAACCCATACTATTTTTTGACTTGTTCTTCAACCGCTGGATCCAATTTCAGTGACATGACTGGAAAAGGAAGGTATGGCTCATGGTAAGCATGGATATTTCATAGATTTCATGGACATTTGGGCTGGAAGGGACCTCGGAAGATCTTCGAGTCCAGCCCCCTGCCCCAGGGGCAGGAA